AATGAGATAGGTTTAGAACACAAGTCATACGTCAGTACTCTTCCGCCCAGGACCGACTTCCTACCCGTGTCATTGGTGTGCAGATGTACTAATACTCTTGCCCAGTCGCCTCGACCGGTATTATTTAGTAACGCGGATAACATCCAATAACAGCCATGCGGCTACCTAGAGTTAGATGATAGATCTCTAGGTCTATGTTCTTTATCCAATACCCTTCCCCGCTTTCTTCGTATCTCCCTTCTTGGTTGCTACCTTTCTTTCCGATTGGCTGGAAAGAACTTCCAACGAAGTGGCATTGAATCTACGTGGAAGTTGTCTTCCTAAGCTGAAGACGGACTTGGCTATATCGAGGTGTCAGAATCTTATCAACATATAAACCAAACTCCATCCCGTTCATGACTTACCAATTACAAACTACACAGTTGTCAAATTCCTTTCCATAGACTTCTTCAACACTCTAGGAAAGTATGCATCCAGCTAGTCAAGTTCAAGGCGTAGACTGACCAAAGGTGATAGATTTAAACTTTCTTTTTCTTTCGGTGCCATATTCGAAAGGAAAATCTGCGTGGCCTATAGGTATTCGATATTCCTGTTGCACTTGATGCAGTATATATCGGCAGTCTCTTGGAAAATGCTGTCCGAGTGAGAACACATGACTGCGTTCACCCCGCAGATACATGACCGACACCACTACGAAGAGGGTATCGAGCCAAGGCCGAAACCACCATTTTTTGTCATGAGGAGTCCAAGGCATACCCTGCCTCAGCAAAGCCGTGATCATAAGCAATCACAACAAGACCATAAACGCAAATTATAGTGAATCACATCGAACTAACTCGTGGTTGTATTAGGTTGTGAATCTTGATCTGGTTTTCTTTGCTGGGCCTCATGGTATTCGCTCGACGGGATTTCCCACATAGCTTGTGAGATTGTATTATTCTACGATCTAAATTAGCCACCACTGTTCTGCGCGGGCTCGTCGGGGACTTAACTTGGACAAGCTTGTCGCTCAATGTTCCAACATGTCTAACAGAGCCGTGGCCGGGACTGTGAGATACGTCTCAATACCAGCATTTTTGAGGCACCCAGTAAAACAATCTCTTTGTTCATGCTACAAAACTTTTTGATCCATCTAATGTGAGCCCCCCGGGAACTTCCACCGGGTTGTCGACCACCTAAAGGTATGTTATTAGTCAAGTGGCTTATTGTAAAAAGAACTTCCCGAAGTCGTGACCCCCAATATAAACCAGAGAGAATGATACCTGCCAGCCCTTAGGTAAGGGACCATCCGTTAGCCGGAAATTCAGGGTCTGTCAGTGCAGATCTTTCCAAGTTTCCAACTTTTCGTGCATGAGGTGCAGTAAGATACAAGATATCGATACATACGCTCCAGATTTTCTTCCTCAGCTTTCAGCAGCTTTGGATGATGATATATATGCCGCCGAGCCAGAACACTTCCACGTGACATATTAAGAACCAATAAACAATCACGTGAAATTAGTGATATACAAGATTGCTGGCGGTTTCTCTGATTCTTATTGTAAGTCATTGTGAGCCAAGAAAGAATTACTCAACAACGCTCAACCCGAAGGACCCGTAAACACACCCCATGCCCCCCCCAAAAACCAAGTATGTCAACTAAACTGCTTAACTACCGGTACTCGCGGCAGGCCAAAAGAACCAGAAAATTGGCTTTTCTGGTAAGTGTACCTGGTTGGTCGGAACGGGCCACACCACCGAACTGGTTCGTCAACACTGAACCCCTGTCCTCCGGTTCCTCTTGCCATCGTCATATCCCTGGGTTTCAAAATTCCGGGATCGCCGCACGACAAAATAGGCACTATAGATTTACGATGTCCTATTCATTTTTCGAGCAAAATGATGCGATCCCGTACATGTAGAACGCCTCTACGGGAGTGTTCACCGCCAGTAGAAGTGCAGGTCTTAGGGTTCGGCGGATAGGCTATCGATATCCGCTTAAGTTCAAAGGGCCAAGGTTAGGACGTTCAAATAAGATGTGGCGAGCCCACGATACAATATCTACCCCACAGTTTTTTTCTTCTTTCTTTTATCCGTATGGTACACAGGAGCTTTTCGTTCTCGACTCTAAGGGGTTCACAAAGTTCTGTATGTTGTTTTGTCCCACACACACTCCCTCAACGTTGCAACGTTGCGCATGCACCATGGATGTCATCATATCTATATTAATGAGGGTCCTATTAATATCAATCCGCTCATAGATGAAGAGGAAAACATAAAAAAAAACATATATGAAAGCCACTCTGGGGTTCTCAATTCGTCTAAAGAATCCCCATAGAAACGTCATCATGACCGAGCTCTGTACTACAGGCATGCAACCGACTAGAGGCCGTATGTTTTTTTTTTTCATTCCTTTTCTTACAAACTTCTTGTAACTCTTTACAAAGCTCAAGTCGGCCAGTTCAGTTAGTTGTTGCGTGGGGCACCAAAAAGACCCCATCATGACCAGGGTCCCCCTTTATAACGGAGGGGGGGATTGATCTCTGATCTCCGATCTTTTGCTTCATACGAGTAGCCTTGCATGCCACTAGTTAGGCATTCACCTTCCGCCTCATGATCATATTTATATTGGAAAACTACCCAACCCTGTACGCTACCGTGCATTGTAGTGGCGTGGCGCAGGTGCTGATCATCAATGTGTTGACCCGGAAAGGTAGAAGATGCTTCTCAACAACAGAAAGTCTCCTATTCAACAACAAATGAGGTGGTCCCTAAGGCAGTTTGTGTGTGTTTACTTTCGAACTCTCGACACCATCCGCGCTGGCTCTTTAGGCAGGAACTGCCATTTTTAAGTATACACCATCTAAATCAACGCAAAGTGATATATTGGGAGGGGGGCTAGGGGAGGGGGGGTTGGCTCTGAGTTTTGATCAAAATCTGACATTTGTTTCTTCGAGAAAAGGGAGTGTCTTATATGGTCGGTTGGATATTCCGGTGCTAGTACTAGCTATTGCCTACTAGCTGTACACCCATACATGGGCCCAATATCAAGTAGGGCTCGAGTGATCATTTATGATCTCTAACCTTTATATCCAAGAGGACCAACGTGCTCTACTTGTCAATACCGCCGGTGCCAGGGCTAACATGTGAATAACTCCGATATTCTGACGGCAATCAACGGATATAACCCTGCACTCCATGCGGGCCTGGAGTCGGCGATGAAGTCGCAGACAAGCGCAGAGCCAAAGAGAAGGATCCCAGTATATACGTATGTAGAGAGAAAAATAAAATAAAAAAAGCTATGATACACATGTACCATACCGCGACCCACAGACTGAGCAGTTTTAGATACATGTAACGTATATAAGAGACTTCAATTATTATGAAAACGTGGCACCCCCTACAAGAGAAAGTATGTGAAATCAAAGTCAAGCCTCTGGTTAGCACTATCAATGTCTCATCATGTAGATCTAGTAGCAGTAGCTGTCGAGGTAACCAGCTAGGAAAGCACCCATGGGCCAGACCACGCAGGCAGAAAGAATGAATACATAGGCAAAAAAAAAAAGACTGTTCTCATGGTTGTCAATATGAAACGGAGTTTCCCGTCTGTCTGCGGATTCCTGTCAGCCGTCAAATATAAAAGGCTGCCAAGAATTAAGGGTTCACTCTTAAAAGTATTGATCAGCGGGAGTCACGCTTGATCGCCAATCACAGATCCCATCAAGAACCCTCGCATAAGCATAAGCGCAACCTTTATCCACGTTTCCTGGGGAGCTCGGGGGTCAAAGCTCCCAGGTCCCTAGCAACTCACGAAAGGTCACCGGCACAGACAAGGCCCAATTAATCTGTGCGCGCGCCCGTACATTTGTTTGAGATCGCGAGGCAGACTGCGATGCTGTACACATAAGCAATTGATCTCGTCTCCATAGAAACAACTCTACCACGTCGTATCTCCGTAGTGGAGTCACCACCTATCACTCAGGGCGAAGCTTGCTGTGTTGTAAGTTTGTTGATAAGATGGGATCGGGCATCATCATCAGGATTCTGATCTGTTAACATGTGTTGTTTCTTTGCCTAGTTTTCTACCTTTATGCAATTTTCAACGAATTTTATTACAGTTACTACTATTGCCCTTGATCGATGGGTCCGGGCTCGGGGGCGAAAGTTACAAAACATGGTTCCGTTTTCACGTTCCAGTTAATTAGACATGATGACAGCTAGGTTGAAAGAAAGAAAAAAACAGGACCTGCGTGGAGTGAATCCGCAGGAGGGAGAGCGCTCATACTGCTGCCTGCTCGGGCATGATCATGTTGAGTAAGACATGAATACTTTGGAAGAAAGAAGAAAGAAGAAAGGAAAGAAAGAAAGAAAGAAAGAAAGAAAGAAAGAGAAATCCAAACGGAAAAAAGAAAAAGAAAAAGAAAGAACAATTCATAGAGTTTAATGACATACATTTTACTATGATATATCATGTATTAGTTGACTAGATCAAATATAGAACGACATCTTGCCTTGGTCTTGGTATCATGACATGACAGCCATGGGAGAATTCGAACTGGAGAAGCACGTTGTTGAATGGAGCCAGAAGTTTGGGAACGGAATTACGAACTGTATGTCTTTGTATCTCGGCATACTATCTGCCTACCAGAATCCATACCAATACATTCAACACCCCACATCCATACATGCCATACATGTGTATCAGCAGCAGAATATCTGTATGTCTTCATGTATGTGTATGACCCGTCGCCTGGATTACCTCCCGGATCCGCCAAAGACGTCATAAAAAATGACGATCTAAACCCTGCCTGCTAATACCGACCGGCGAAACAAAACGATGAATTATAACCTGGAAGTACGCGTAGTTTCTGGCGAATACCTTTATAAGTTAGGATTGCTAGAAATCTTAGAAATCCTAGAAAACCAGCTCTTCGCGCCAAATTTTGTCACCATCTCAGGGGGGGAAAAAAATAGAGAGAGTCCAGTCGCTACTTCTCATATCATCATCACAATATTTCATCATGTCAATATTCGCGTCTAAACAGAATGGGCAGTCCTCCGACAACGGTAGCAGCAGTAATGGTAGTAGTTGTTGCGATGTTTGTGGTTCTGGTGCTCAGTCTACACCTACTTGGCCACCACCTCCAACGTTCGCACAGTATCTCAATGGTGGCGCTGGGAGCCTCGACATTCGAACGGAATCTTCAGAATTCTCACTCTCCAGGTCATTAAATGCCCTTTTACCACAGGATATCAGACTTGAGTCTATTGAAGACTTCAAGTCAAGCACCGAATCCGTAATCTCGTCTATCAGGATATTCTCAAGGGACTCTTTGCCACCCTACCCAGTAACTGCTAAAGCAATAGACAAGTTCTATCTATCTACCGGACAGCTCTTCTACATTCTTGAAGAACATGAAGCTCGTGAACTTCTTAAGATCGCATACACAGAACCTCAAAAGACAACTTTGCCGATGTTTTGTCAATTGTTTGCGATCGCGGCTGTCGGATCACTTTACGACGACCTAGTGCCGTTTGCCGTGAACCAATCCTTTTTTCAGACAGCAAGATTCTACTTGGACGACTGCTTGGAGGCAGATGATTTCCAAACTATGAGAGTCTTGCTTCTACTCGCCATTTACTGTATCCTTGAAAAAAGGGTTGCCTGTTGGAAATATATAGGTGCGTTTTTAATTTCGTCTTTTCTTCCCTCCTTCCCTACACCATGGCCTAAACAGTCGTACAGCAAGCTTTGTATAATTAGTTTCGTCCGAGAAACATTCCATTGATATCTCACCAATCTAGGTCAAGGTCTTCAAAGCGCGCATTCGCGGGGGATTCATCTAAGCAGCGAGCCACCCGCAGGCGGAATCTTCTCCAAGATTGAATGGGTTGGATGGAGGAAGACATGGAGAAGTTTAGTCTTTTTGGACAGGTTTGTGGCATCACTATTTGAAATTATACGCAAAAAAATATACTAAAGGACCACCCAGCTGGCTTGCTGGTACTTTAGGGGTATTGCCGAACGTTGACCCAGCAATCTCTCAAAGCTGCTATGATGAAAAGGTAAGATACAGATAACCTTTTTTTCCTGCTCCTATCCCGTGATTCATAACACCAACTGCAGTGTATTTTATAGATCATTATGGTAACGAAATCTCAACTGATCAGGAATATCACGACACCAACAACTCCATCACTTCTGGGCTACAGCTCAATCTCATCAAGCTTGGCATTTTGCTTGGGAAAATTCTATGCAACGTGTTTAGGGATTCTGGGGCAGATCTCCAGATCATCTCGGAGCACATGGTGCAATTGGAGCACTGGCATGAGAGACTACCCCAGTTCTTACAGCTGCAGGCACTTGTTTCGACAGAAATCGAGCCCATGAAAAAGGCTATGGTTTACTTGATGCATTGCACATATCTGACGGCGATAATTCTCCTGACGCGACGGGTGATGGTTCCGTTAGTATCAGGGGAGGGTGTCATCAACGATTGGTTAGCTGCCGGCAAAATCAAGGAAGCTATTGCGTACGCCGAGATTTGCGTTTATGCGTCAAAACAAGTTGCAAAAATTGTTGGGTTACTGCATTCGGAGAGGTTATTGGTCAGAAAATGCTGGATGGCCATGTAAGCCCCCATATTGCGTTGAAGATCACTATGTTTGCTGTTCTGTTTGTTGTGTTAATGCTTACCTTCTTCCTCTTAAAACAGACACCCCGCTTTCAACGCAGGCCTGATCCTGCTGTTTCACGTGTCCCAGCAAGCTCTGAAGGGTCATTATTCTGAACAGTTCTCGGAAGACGTTGCCGACGCGAGAAAATGCATTTCGGCGCTGGAGTACTCGGCACAGGACAATGAGGTTTCCCGTTGCTACCTAATCATTCTCCGTCCCTTCCGAGAGCTATTGAGCCGGAATCCTGGAGAAGCCCGAGACATGCTGCAGCCACCCGAACCACCACAGCCACCACCAACCAGCCCGCAAAGTCATTGGGGCAGCATGTCTTCGGTGCAGCTTGCGGACATTGACGGTATCGGTTCCCCGTCCCCATCAACGTCTCCGGATTCGGCGCTTACGCCGGCATCTGCGTCATCAACGAAGCGTTTACAGTCTAACAATTACGCGGTGGGCAAATATCCGAAATGGACAGAGATTTTTTCACCAGCGCCGAAGATTTTTGTACAACACGCTGGTATGGAACAGCAAGATAATAAGAGAAGGTATTCCGAGAAAGACATGAAGGATCTAGAAGCGCTCCTCAAGAGAGTGGCATGATTTACGAGAATTATATATACGATATTAAGGGTAGGATAGTATTATCTTTCAAAGGTGTTTGGGGGAGTTGGAGTTGGCGGCTATTTCATTCCTTAGATTTTAAAAAGTCGGTGAAATATTCATTGTTTACTGTTCCGTTTTGCTGTTTTGCCTTTTTGTTTTTTTCACTTTTATGTTCTTATTTGAAGGTTGCAGGCTATTAGATCCCTGAGGCATTGAGTTTTATATACAAGGGCTTCGAACGAATTTTATTACTTGTTTCTTTATCGGGTTAGGGGTCTGGGAGCTGAATTTGGGGTTTGCTTTTTTTTGAATATTTGTCACTGGCTTTTTTGGGATTATTTCTTTTGGCCGTCAACTTTGGAAGGAAGTTGTTTTTTGTTTTTTTGTTTTTACACGTAGATACTATGACTTTGCTGGTCTGAGCCGTAGGATCAAATGTTATTTTGTGCGTGATTTCCGTAAAACCTTCATGCGATCATCGTATTATCACAAAACTGCTCATAAGGTATAGAGCTTCAGCCGTCCACTTTCTGAGCCAAATACAAGCTGAACCCTCAATTAAAGCTCGTAATATGAGTATGAACGCCATTGCACTAGTGGCCGTGTGCCATTAATGGCTGGGGAGCAACTATAGTGAAAAGGGTGGCGATCTGCATAATGACATGACTTTTCCAGAACGCCATCTGAAAACATATCGAATTCTTCTTTTTAGAAACCTCAGCCCAATGGAGTATTCTAGTATAGGTTACTGCATAAATTATCACTTATGCGGGATGTTGGGGTAAGTCATGTAGAGGGTGTAGGGGGGGCTTACTACCAGAAATATAACATATCGCAAAGCTGGGAGTATGAACTGACGTCTGAACAAGCTTTCTGCCATCTCAAGCAGTCGCGCAAGGGTTCCCGAAAATCCCTCCTCTCCGGTACTGCTTGACCCGCAGGTCCAGAGCTTCGGCCGATCTTGGAGGGAAGTCTAGGGATGACGACATGACACCCTTTCCTCGTTCCGAACTCACAAAACCAGTGAAGACGAGTCACAAACTGGGGAAAAGGCACGACCTACATCCTACCTGACCAGACTAAATAAAAATGGAAAGATTTACCGAATCTCCTCTCCATACCCCTTCCTTCCTCAAATGCGAAGTGAGATGGTGTACCAGGAGAATGAAGGAAAACAAAAAAAAAAAAAAAAAAAAAAAAAGGAGAGGAAGAGGAAGAAGGATCCCGGGCGCAAGAATTACCTTGACGATCTTCCACTTGTCCCCCTGAAGATCACATCCCCACTTGACGACCACTTGTTTTCTCCCTTCTCTCTAAAAATCTTGCCTGGCGTACCGAACGAGCGTTGAGCCTTCCCACACCTCCACCGCCAACTAAGATTCGAAACAGTAGGCCACTAAGAGCTAGCTACTAGCAATTGGTTTAGACCTATCGCTACTGGTTCTCAGATAGCCAAATATAGCAGGCTTCTAGTTCAATAGCTCAGTGGTGTGCTTCTCGCTTCTTGATTGGCGTAGGTTGGGTCAGCACGTCCGGATGGCTTTTTAGGCTTGGAACATTGTAAAGCCTTGAGAGAACACCTGAATTCGGTTGTTAGTAGTTACTTCGCCTAAATACCTCATGTAAAACCCGGGTCCTGTATGTCTTCTCTTCTTCTATATGCTATCATGGTACAGCCATCTCTGTTGCTGTACTGCTGCATCTAAGTCATCCACCGTTTGAAGCATCAATATGTGCACTACTACTAATCTGAACTGATCAACTTTCAAGCGCCCAATTAGTTAGCGCTTGCCCGAGAGAAAAAAAGTACCGGGGGTCTAACGTAGGATTGTCTAGCTTTGGTATGGGGGCTTTGTCATTATAACCGAGTGATTAAGGATGACAAAGATCATGGTCGAATCAGCGTCATAACAAGCCAGGCTTGTCTGCCTCTCAGTTCTGCGAAGTCGGAGTTCTCAGAGGGACAGGACAGCGATCAGGGGAGGAGATATCGAGGAGGTCTTGCTCATACTAAGATAGTGTTCGGTGCTTCATATCAAAGCTCCCTTGTGGTATTCCACAGTGTCCTACTGACGCGTCAATCGCATGCTCAAAAATACTTAGTCAGGTTCGTCATCGCGCTGAGTGCAATATTAAGGCTCTTGTTAAAGTAGTTAAATGACAACCACAATCGGCCGCGCGCATTTGAAGATAACGAGAGATGTCACTGTTACAGCGTTACTTGTATCCATTTGCCAAGAAATTGGTTTATGTAGCGCATCAAGTATCAGGGCGATCCTCACCGGATCCCTACTGATGGTAAAAACATCCAGCCAGCACCTACAATAGTAGTTTCTTAATTATTGACATAAAACTATGACGTTTTCAGTGTTGACGTCGCAATAAAGTATCCATTACTGCAAGCCACAAATTTCTTCGGCGATTTCTTATTCGACAGGAGGCTTAGCAGGGGATCTGGTGGCTTTTCCCCACCCACGATTCCTATATCCTAGCTTTGGGTTAGCAAATCGCGGGGTTCACGTGACAACATCGTGTACGTCACAATTTGTTGTTATTCACACGATGCTAAATTTATAATGGCACAGACAAAACCATATGGCAGGGCTTAGTTGAACGAAATTTGCGATGAGATTACCCTGGTAACTGTACTATGTACATGTATGTATATTGTGCTAGATGGCCCCGCCCACCGGAACCACCCCCTTTCCACACAACGGGAACGAATATTGATTGGTTGGTATATACGATGAGAGAAGCTTATCTTAATGGCCAGATATCACGTCGATATTTTCCTTTTTTGGTATAGTTGTTTTGGTGATAGTGAGGAGAGTTCTGATAGCCAACTACTGGTAAGTGTAAGTGCATACATTCTAGCTAGTTGATATCTCGCGACAATTTTATCTATCAGATTTCTTTCTGAACAATGGCTTCTGTAGCAATTAATTATGGGACATCGCTTTCGTATTTTCGCAAGACGTAGGATCTCGATAAGTGTTGGAAACGGATATTATAGTTCTATATAACGACAAATCAGCTAGAATTTCACCAAGTATAGTATTTCTGGGTTAGTGGCGGGCCTGAATTAATGGCAAAGGTAGAGGAGCCAACACGGTTCTATAGGATTGATTGGTCAGTAAGTGCACATTCTCCAGTGAACTAGGTTAGAGCGGACGATACCTTAATTACGTTCATTGGATCGTAGAACAATTTGAGTCTTGTCCGTCACGTAAATACTGTAGCTCAACGTATAAAAGATGGCCGGTCACACAAGACGTTGAAGTTGCCTTTTACAGCGAGCTAGTATGAAGGAAGGTCAGGAGGCGTTTTTAAGGCAAATGACCACATAATTATATAAGGGAATTACAACGTCCTGTGTGATCGTCCTCTGAGACGAATCACTACGCTACAAACTTCCGATAAGTACGATATATATAAGTATATGTTAATATCTCCATAAGAAAAACCTGGAAAAGAACGGATCTATGTTCCTAAAAGGCCTGTACGAAGCCCTGTTCTGACCAAGAGCTCGAGTCTGCATAAAAGCTCCCTATCGATACAAACCATTTTTTCCTGGATTAATGGTATAGTTCCTCATTCATAATTGCGAATGGTAAGACTCAGCGAGGCCCCCTCCATTGTTCCGTGTCCATAGTGCTTGGTGTTTATTGTTCTTAGTTCAAAAACGGGAATAAATTCTTAGGAAAGTCAAACTTTGAGAATGGGTCAAGGCATATGGGAGCTATGATCTTTGAACACGCATAGCTGTAGTGGAAATTGCAGATCAGAGAGTTCTAGCTTCTCCATTTAGATAAATGGATATATAGTTCATCATGAACAGATTCCCGCAACGTGTCCAATCCGCATAGTCAACACTGTTGTACTAATGACCTACTTCAACGATGTGGAATTATCACTTCGTGTGTTTTCACGACCGGGAGCTAGTAGGCAACTTTTACTCAGTAGTAAACCTAACCCTCACTCCAGGAACCTCTTTTGCTGTGAAGTCACCTTCTGCGGCCCCTCCTATACATATTCTGGTTTCTCCACAGTCTGTAGGTAGCTATATTTCCTGAATATCACTACGCCGTCGTGGGCCTAATATGTCTCTGTTTTTTGCTGCAACGAACGAAGGGGTAGAATCACTCGAAGTTTGAAAAATATTAGACGAGTTGTATATTCCAATCAGATATGTAGATTCGGTCGTAGTGTGTATACAGCCATACAAGTGGTTTCCGGCCTTCAGCCGGTACTATATGTATATCAATCAGTCCAATATACAGGCAAGCAGCCTTGCGGCTTATTTTCTCTATTTGCCTGTCAGTCGGGGCTCTCAGGCCGCTGCGCGGCCCTCGACCCCTCCTGGCAGGCAAAGTCCATCACTATATCTGCTCTGGTCGATATGTGCCTTTTCTGATCGGTGATACCCTCCATATATCAGTGGATAGATCGCAGTTCAAGCTGCAAGTATCCCTTTAACAGCCACCAAGCCGCTAAAACTGAACTACTAATCGATTCCCAGAACCAGTTGAAAACCTATTAACAATCTAACACCACTCAGCACAATACCCTATGTTGATATCCAACACATGTTTCAAGTGAAACAAAAGCCTCTCTCAATGAGCCAATCAAGAGCTTTTAAATGTACATTGCATATGCAGGTTATAATTATATACTTATTAGATGTATTACGTGCTGTTCGCATCTATCAGCACCCAAGCTGATCATCAGCTTGGTTTTTCTGGATAGCCTAATTGAAAAGCCGAATTCGCTCTAGTACTTTTTAAAGATCATATACAATTCAGTTATTAAACTAGAAAGCTGCTTAAATAAGTTCATGACTTTCTTAAGTTCGAAATATATCGAAAAAAATATTGATGCTTGTTGTGACCGAGTGATATGTCATGATTGCATACTATAATTTGATAAACTTGTGAATATTTACTAAACGTTCTTACGGCCTTTCTTCTCTATCGGCCCCCTAGATGTTATATAGGCTA